GCGACGGTCGTGATTTCCTCGGCGCATATTAGAAGCGGTGGTGGCGCTCATTAGTGACGGCCGTGAGTCCGTGACTTCGTCGGCGCTTCATCCGCGTTCCTTAGGATGGCTGATTTCTTGCTGTCTTTTTCTTTCCTGCATCGTCAAGTGATTTACAGAATACGGAAAAAGGAGAAAAGGGAAAGAGATGTAAAGCAGGCCAGGGGATCGACAAATGGTCCGGGGAAGAAAAGAGCGGAGAGGACAAATTATACCGTGCAACCGGAGCACCACACGAGGATGGTGCATCCGGGTTGCAAAACGACGTAGGATTGTTTGTTTCTTTTCTTTCTTTTTTTGCTTTTGTTGTTAAAAAATGATAATATCTTTTTTATTTTTGATCCGATTTTTATAAAATTTATATCAACATTTTTTATTTTTCATTATCTTTCAAATGAGACCAATATTGCTTATGTAATTTTAAAAACTTATCGAACTATTATATTAATGGTATTGGATTATAAGGAAAATCGAACTAAATTTAATTTAGAAAAATAATTGTGTAAATCACAATTTATCTTAAAATTGTGTATATAAAAAATTTATTGTATTATGTATTTATACATGTGAGTTACATATTTTTATACGTGAAGTTACATATTTTTACACGTAAAGTTACATATTTCTACACGCAAGTTACATATATATACACACGAGTTGCATATGAATTGCAGGGAGATGATAGGTTTGTGAAATAGAAGATCGAATCTGTTTGGGAGTGGATCAGTGACCTCAGTTACATTGAGTTACATCTTTTTATGAGCGAGTTACATCTTTTTATAAGCAAGTTACATATTTATACACGCGAGTTACATATTTATACACACGAGTTACATTTGACCTGTCTGAACGCGAGTTACATATTTTTACACGTAAAGTTACATATTTTTACACATAGAGTTACATATTTATACACACGAGTTGCATTTGGCCTGACTAGACGTGAGTTACATATTTTTACACGTAAAATTACATATTTTACATAGGTTAATTTAATAGTTCGACAGTATGTTAAAATTACATAGGCAATATTGGTCTCATTTGAAAGATCATGAAAAATAAAAAATGTTGATATAAATTTTATAAAAATCGGATCAAAAATTAAAAAGTTATTACCATTTTTTAAAAAAGTTTTGGGAGTGGGTGTACGGTGCTCATGCTGGGACGGTCGTACGGTATACGAACTCAGCAGAGAGGGTTACTGGGTTAGGCTTGTAAAAAATCGTGAGATGTTCTGGTTTAAGCTTAGGGATGATCGAAATGTAAAAAATATTCACAGGCCAGATTCTTTATTGCGAGGGACGGTCCAGATTTTTTGGAATAAAAATGATAAACTCAACGAAGTAACTCATAAGACTAGGTCTCTTTTGTAAGGTGTTTTTAATATACTCCGCATTAGTGTACTACATAAATAACTCATAATTATTACAACAATTTAAGAAAATGTTGCATAATGTTTATTCATATGCAACACTTTTTAAAAAGTGTTAGGTAATTCTTTATTTTTAACACTTATGCAACATATATTTAAAAGTGTTGCAAAAGCCGAACATTGAATATGATATGCAACAAAAAAATAAGTGTTACTAAGAAACTGTTACAAAAGGTCCATTTTGTTGTAGTGGATGCAACAAAAATAACATTCCAGGTGATGGATGTTGTATACTTCTATCCCTTGTGCCCCCCCGACCTCATCTTTTATTTGCTTGACATGCGGGCGTTCTAGCCTGCCCCTCCCCGTTTTTTGTTATGCTCATCTCCACGTCCATATCCTTTTGTGTTGCTTCTTGGCCCTCATGATCCACGCGTCTACGCTTTTGTTCCACCTTATCTCCTGGATGAGCATGATCCTTCTCCTAATGTTGTCTTCCATCTGCATTCGAGCCAACCATCCCTAGTCCCCCTTCTTCTTCATTTCCTTTCCTTTTGCCAATTGGGACTAGCCATTTGTTGCTTCACACAGATGTGTTTCCTTTTAAAGCTCTCAGCTCGGGTCCAAAACGAAAGTCTCCACTTCTGCCTTTGCCATCCGGGTAATTCAGGCAGAATCTTTCCGCATGACCTATAATTCCGCAGGGAAAACAAAAACTGGGCAGTTTTTCATACCTAAATTTAACGCAAAAACTTTCTCTTTCGTCTGATCGGAGAAACAGTTTCCTCTTCAAAGACATGTTCAAGTCAATACTAACTCTTAGCGTCATGTAGGGATTCCATTCCACAGAGAAATTCTGTTCATCTACCCTGATAAAGCTCCTTACAAAATTCCCAGTTTTTATAGCATTTTCAACTAAAAAAACCCCATTGGTACATCATGAACCTGTGACCAGAAGTCAGCCCTATTCAGCGGTATCTGCAAAGGCAAATCCCCTTGCTTCATCCTAGCAAGCACAATTAAATTCTGGTCGAAAGTCCATAGTCCTTCCTCCAAGACACATATCATATTGTTTTCATTGTAAAATTGAAACATGTATCTTTGTGCACCTATCTCAGTAATAGTAACACCTCTAACAGGCTTCCACACATTTACCATAGTGTGGCGAAAAAAAGAGAAGCGTACCGACTTTTTCAGAAGTGACTATTCCAACCAAGGTTAGCCCTACCTCCATGATCCCGGGAGCTTTTGCCACCACGTGTAGAACTTCATCTTCCTCCTCCATCTCCAATCTTCCATAGGCGTTTGCTAGCCTATTTATCTCCTTCATCTCGTTGATGTCGCCCGTTTTGTGTTGGCTTTCCTTCGTTGAAACTGTAAGCAACGAAGCAATCCTCGATCGATTAAAATCGCCGTGAGAAGAAAGCGGCCAGATGCTTGAACCGAACGCACGCTTCGGTACGCGGCGACCCCAGTTGTTGTGCCAATCGTCTAGCGATTAAAAATCGCCAACCCAAACTCCCCAGACCCTAGCTGCACCAAAAAACATTATCTGCTTGAATTGTCCTAATTTCTAAAAAATTGATTCTCATTCTAGTTTTGCTTTAAAGAAAACAAAAACAAAATCAATTCGAGACACTTTAATTTAAGTCGTAACTTCTAAAACTTCGCAAGGCTTCAGCTTCGCAAGATTTCTGCACTTTATTAGCTGTTGTAACTTACTACCTTCGTTCCAAAATGATGGTCCTGTATGTATTTCCTTTTTGAGATGTCGCAAAATGATGGTCATGTTTCCCTTTTTGGAAAGAAAGATGTGGTCCATATCATTTCACTTTATTATACTCAAATCTCAACCACAACTTTTACCTTTTCAACCACTTTATTAAAATTTGTGCCCAAAAAAATGAGACCATCAAATTGGGACGGAGGGAGTATAAGTTTGGGTTGTAACTTATAAGCACTGTCGTAATGACTATAAATGGGCTAAAGTTAGAATATACCTTTTCAAGAAAAACATAAAAATTTTCTAGTTCTTTTAAAGGGAATAAAAATTAGCTCAGGAAAACATAAATGAGAGAGATGGGGCAAGAAAAAAGCTAGAGAAAAACAAAAAAGAATCGAACATCATCCTGTGGGTTGACAGATACAACGTAAAAGGTAGCTCAAACTTATTGTTCAAACATGTCCCTTACTTTGGACTTTTCTTTAATCATCTCCTCTACCCCAACATAATTGGAAGTTAAAGATACCAAACATTGTTGAATGAAATTAAAATGTTAGATTTTTTTGAGCCAAAAGGCATTTGGTTAACTCTATTTGATGCAAATTAAATAAGTAAAAATCACTCTATACCTGATAATTCATAGTTTCATACTCCATATTAGGGGAAATTTCCAATTAGTATGAGTACGTAGGTCGGTAGGGAGGGTTGGACCCAGTCCACGCTACACGTCACGAACTAGTCAAGATTGGAACCGGACTAACCAACTTTTTCTGTTCGGTTTTAGGACCATCATAGGAGTACTAGACCCACCCTCATTGGCGTCGGTACCAATTAGGGCATTTTGAGACCCGAGCCAGCTAGTCCAATCCTGATTGTGTCTTTAATTTTATTCTTTACATTTCAAGACTTATAAAAATTTTAAACGATGTATCTACAGGGACATCCGATAAAACTGGAAAAATACATACACATAAACATTTTAAAAGATGAATACATGTATTTAAAAGCTAAAAGATGGTATGGCGGAGAGCCGATCAGTGACCGATTCCGGCCCAAGGTCCATGCCTAAGTACATATATGCAGTCACTGCATGTTTTTTCCCTAGGGAATATATCCAATTTGTTTTTTAACAACTAACTGCACATCTTTCTAATTGTTTTACCAAGAGGCCCATTTTCATATTTTTTTGACACGGCTATCCGAGAGACTTGTAGGGTTAATTTGCCTGTATAAGATTTATTAATTAGTTTAACCTTTAGCTTTAAGGGTTTAATTGGTTCTTTTAAAATTCTTTTTTGGCAAAACTTTTAAGATTTAATTAATTAGCTCATGTAAATTTAGTTTAGCCGACCCCCTTACCTCATTGTATCGGTGAGAGCTTTTGCAGCATTAGAGTAATATTATTGTTGTGTAAATTTAATTTATCCTTTTGATCTAGGTAGTGGCATGTGGCAGTTTAACTAGAGGGGTACACATATTTTTGTACGTCTTGTGCACTTTATACATTTTGCAACTAGGAGGTGTGTACATTTTTCATAATTTTATCATTGTAGTAGTACATACATTAATTTTAACATATAAATATATATAATTGTATGTACTACTACAGGGGTGTACATATTTTTGTACGTCTTGTGCACTTTATACATTTTGCAACTAGGAGGTGTGTACATTTTTCATAATTTTATCATTGTAGTATTACATACATTAATTTTAACATATAAATATATATAATGTATGTACTACTACAATGATAAAATTATGAAAAATGTACACACCTCCTAGTTGCAAAATGTATAAAGTGCACAAGACGTACAAAAATATGTACACCCCTCTAATTGCATGTGTACACAGACAATTCAGAATGTGCACAAAGTCAGCTTGTTTAGAAAAAGACAACAATTGTTGATGTACACAAGAGAGTATGTCAAATGTATACACCTTTTGTGTACATCAAGAATATAATGACGGTAAAATTATACAAAGTACATCATGAAAGATACGGGAACATTTTAGTCGACAAATAATTAGACATGCATTTTTAATTAGATTTGTTTCAATCCTAGCCGATATCGCCCATCGCGTAGCTTCTACAACTGCCATAACCTCAGCTTCTAAACTCGAAGTGGCAAGAATCGGAAATGACATGGCCAGTATCAGAACTCCCTCTTGATTCCCCACAATCGCTCCATCTCCTGCTTTACCAGGTAAATAGCTTGCATCCACATTCATCTTGAGATAATTTTTTGGCTTTTTCCAATGAATTGCTTTAATTTGATATCCCCCGATTTTGAAATCCTCAGGAACCAGCCTTTCCTCAAAAAGTATATCACCAACTGACCGAGCCCTTATTCTGGAGAAAGTAGAAGCCCAAGCTTGAGTAAAGATTTTGATTTGGATAATAATAGAGTCTGCAGTAGGTCTAATATTCTGATTTCCCCAAACTATTGCAGTATAATTTTTCCAAATAAACCAACTTATGATTCCAGGCAGATTATGTTTAAACAAATCAGTAACAGTCTTGGAACCATCTTTAAACCACCAACTCATGTAGACATGTCGAATAGAGCTACCAGGATTCAGTCGAGGTATACCCATTGTTGGTCCAAAATAGGACGCTCGTAGGCTTTTAAGAAAGCTACGTACGACACTCAAGCAAGAATTAGGAAAATACGAATATGGAAAGTTAGCCAGAAATAGCATATCTGTATTTGAAATTCGAATTGCCTTTTATAGGCGATTACAAATGGTAACTGTCGAACATAATAATGACTAAATTAATTACAACATTTTTACGGAATTAAACACATAATTAAGTCGCACATTGATTGTTGGCCGTTACTCTTCCTGGCTGGCAGGTCAGCCTGGCTGGCAGGCTGGACACTTGAGCTCCCTCCTGCTGGACTGGACGGTGGGCTTCCCGTTAGGCTGGAGGAAGGCTTCTGACCGGGCTGGAGGCAGGCTCCCGGGTAGGCTGGAAGGCAGGCTCCTGGGTAGGCTGGAAGGCAGGCTCCCGGGTAGGCTGGAAGGCAGGCTCCCCGTTGGGCTGGAGGCAGGCTGCTGTCTGGGCCGGAAGGCAGGCTCCCACCTGGGCTGGACCGCAGGCTCTCAGCTGGGCTGGTCGGCAGGCTCCTAGCTAGGCTGGAAGGTAGGCTCCCCACTGGGCTGGAAGACAGGCTCCTGGCTAGGCTGGAAGGCAGGCTCCCTGCTGGGCTAGAAGGCAGGCCGCCTTGGGCTTTCACTCTTTGATGGGCCTGATCGGTTGGGCCGGAACGAGCTCTGGATCACTGGGCTTGGGCCTGCTGGTCCAAGTCCGGGGCCTGGGCCGATTAGGCTCTGGGCCTAGTCCCATAACCCCATCACGAGTCCCCCACTCCCTTCGTCGAGTAGTAGACTCGGCTAAGAGGGAGTAGTTTAAGTCAGCTGCCGATTTAAAAATATTCACATATCAGGGAGCCATAATTGTGGATTATGTGAATCCCGGACTTTATGGAAATTACCAAATTAAATCAGGCTCCAAAAAAAGGCTCCAAATAAATTCCTTCCTTTTCTTTTCTTTCCTTTTCTTTTCTTTCCTTTTTTTTCTTTTCCTTTCTTTTCTTTTCTTTTCTTCCTTTCTTTTCTTTTCTTTCCTTTTCTTTTTCTTTCCTTTCTTTTCTTTTTCCTCTCTCTCCTGGAACCCTGCGTGCGTGCGTCTTCTCCTAGCCGTCCCAGCGCCGCAACGTAGTAAACCCAACGTGGACCGCCGTATGTGGCCTTGACCTCCCTGCCTCGCCGGGCTCTCCACCAGCCGGCGGTTTTTCCGCAACGGCCGACGGCGACAGGCTCGAGCCGGCCGGCTTCCGGCGTCGGTCCACGAACCGTCCAGGTCAGGCGGCCAGGCGGCCACCGCTATGCACTTCGGATTTGAAAGCGACGGGCCAGGCTGGAGCCACAATTCCCCGGGGTTCCGCGTTGTTCGGCGGTCGTCTGGGTGCTCCTTCCTCCGGGCGGCAAGGTGCTGCCGCCATCTTCTTTTCTTCTTGCTTTTCACTGACGGAGACCAGGCACACACAGGGGTCCAGCGCCGCCGTCCTCCCAGCTTGCTGTTGGCCGTTTGTGGCGCGGCGCTTCAGGCAGGCGGTCGGGCTTCAGTGGCTGCAGGGCCCTTCCAGGTGAACGCCCGTCAATGCGGGACCCTTGCAAACTTAGAACCTTGACCTTCTATCAGGCTGGCGACTCCCCAGTCCACTGTACATCCGTGGCTGCCCGGTTGTCGTCCTGAACTCCGGCAGATCTGGTATGTGGGTCCGGAATTCAACTGTCCGGCGTAACCTGCATGGATTGGTGGCCAAGCACAGGGTCAGCGTCTGCATCACAGGTCGTGTGATTGTGCCTTGCTGGTTGTGGTTCGATGCCATCGTCTTGTGTGGGCTGGACGCGCCGGGAACATTGATCGATAATGGTGAAAACCCTATCTCCCATGTACTCCATATGGGAGCTTCGTGAAGAGGAGAATCGACAAGAGAGAGGCTGACCTCACCCTTACCGATTCACTTTCGTTTTTTTTAATATTCTGATGATAACTTTCTGTTGTCTGTAGGGTCTCAACGCTTGGGATGACCTGCTGAAGATTTTGTTCACGGCGGCAAGCACCAAGGCAATTGCGGGTTCTCATGCCCTCACGGAGATCCCCAAACGTGTGAAGGATCATGAGGACGAGAGAGCCCCACGGCGGGGAGCCTACCTTCCAGTTCGAACTTCGAAGCATGTAAGGCGGCAAGCGCCCCTATCGAGGAAACGGTGGTCAAGGCTTTCCCTCAGGAGTGCCCAACAATGTAAGTTGATTGCGACATAGTCTTGGGCGTCAGTCGCCAGTTGACGGTGGCGTAGTACCTGAGAGACGGCCAAGAGTGGACTGGCCATGGTGATGACTAAGTTGACTTTCAGATTCTGGGAGAGTTCCTTGAGCTTTCTAGTAATTCCCGTGTCTGGATCATTGTACTTGATGGCCATGGGAACATCCGGCCATGACTGTTGCACCCTTTTTTTTTTAGCTTGTAGCCACCATATGTAAAATTCGAATGAATATTACCTTTTAATTCATATGTTTCCTTTTCTATACTTTGCATTACGAATACTTAGCAATTTATTCGGGGATCTGGCTTCTCTAACCTCCCGGGGGCGGTTAGGCTGGTTTGGCCGAGCCTATCTGTGCCCCTCCTAGTTGGATATAAGTGATCTGTTCGCTATTGATATGGAATCAACAAGTAAGCGACTTGTTTGGCCAGCGAGGTCGGACATTGAACCGACGAGGAAGACCCTTAGGTCGGTATCCTGAACGTTCATAACCCGGGGGTCAGTCCTACTGTCACTTTAACCCATCCAGTTTGCCCGGACTTGGGGAATAATCTGGTTACTCCCGCATGGATAGCCAAACAACAGGGGCGGACCCTGCATGATCCACCAGAACGAACCCGCACCGCCAACTCAGGGATGACGAGAGTGCGAGCTGCTTGGCCAGCGATGTTAGGCGGCGAGTACTCGAAAGGACCCGGAGGTCAGCATCCTGAGTACCCTCGACCCGGAGGTCGACCCTACCATCGCCTCGACTGCCGCGGCTAGCTCTTTACTTTAGAAAATTGCCCGGATTCTTGAAAATCGCTTGGCTATTTTCAGTAAAGAGCCTGGCCGAGGTCGGCCAAACACCGAGGGGGGGCATAGTACCTTTTTTTTGCCGCCGCCCTTTATTGCTAAGTGAGGTCGGACCTCTTTTGAAGACAAAATATCGCTAGCAAAGTATATTGAATTCATGATGTGGGTGGACCACATGAAGAATTACAAATTGTAATCCCGTGCTCGGAGCACAGGAGTTTACAAAGAAAAGTGAAACTTCGATTTTCTACTGGTAAAACTTCATCAGGTGCTCGGCATTCCAGACGCGGTCTACCAACCGGCCTGTTGTTGTCTTCAACTTGTATGTCCCAGGGTCGATCACTGCGTCAACCACGTAAGGGCCTTCCCACTTGACGGAGAGCTTACCTCCCTCTGTCGGCCTGCTGGCCTTCCTACGTCTTAGGACATAATCACTGACGTCAAAACTCCGACGTCGGGCTCGGCTGTCTTGTTACGCCTTGACTTGTCGTCGATAGTTTTCCGCTTTGATGAAGGCACGGTCTCTTCTTTCCTCAATGAGGTGGAGCTCGAGGCGGAGCCTCTCCTCATTGCTGGCTGGTTCAAACTCTTCCACTCGCCGGCTGGGAACTACGGCCTCGAACGGTGCCCTCGCCTCAAAGCCATAACACAAGGCAAAGGGGGTCTCTCTCGTTGCCTTCCTTGAGGTTATTCTGAAGGTCCATAGTATATTGTTCAACTCCTCCACCCAGACAGTCCCGAGGGCCTCCAACTTCTTTTGCAATCCATCGACAATTGTCCGGTTGGTGTTCTCCACCTGTCCATTTGCCTGGGGGTAGCAGACCGCAACTCGGCTGGATTCTGCGCCCCACTCTGCACAGAATTGCTGGAAGGCTTCGCAGTCAAACTGCCTTCCGTTGTCGGAGATTATTTGGAGGGGAACTCCAAACCGGCAGAAAATATTCTTCCATATGAACTTCTTACATTGGAGATGTGTGATGCTGGCAAGCGGCTCGGCCTCAACCCACTTCGTAAAGTAGTCCACCGCGACGATGACAAACTTCCGGTTTCCCGACCCGGTTGGTAAGGGACCGACCAGGTCGACACCCCATCTTGTGAATGGAAGGGCGGTGCTGATTGGTGTGTACATCGTTGCTGGTCGGCCGGGGCTCTTGTGGAACTTCTGGCATGTCTCGCATTTCCTTGCATAGTCAGCGCAATCCTTCATTATTGTTGGCCAAAAGTACCCCTGGAGGACGACCTTCCTAGCTAACGTGCCTGCCCCCTGGTGGGCGGAGCACACGCCCCCATGGAGTTCAGAGACGATCATGTCCGCCTCATGTGGGCGTAGACACTTTAGCAAGGTCCCATTGTAGGACCTCTTGTACAGCTTCCCATCCAAGACAAAGTAGCCCGGAGCTCGTCGCCGGACTAACCTTGCCTCATCTTCTTTATCGGGGAGCGTCCCGTCGGCTATGTAGCGCAGGAGGTCATCCACCAAACACCAGGCGACTGGTTGCAGGGGAAGGACGTCAATGGACGGTGAGACTGATATGCTTGAGGTCGTCATCTCCTCAATGCGTGCGATTCTCGATATATGTTCACGTAACCCTTGGGATAGCTTTGAGAGGAGGTCTGCATCGGAGTTTTGATTTCTCGGGATGCAGATCAACTCTGCTTGCTTGAACAACCCGAGCAACTCCCGAACAGCATCTCGATACTTCATCATTCTTTCTTCCTTCGCT